ATGGGGCTCAGAGAGGTATGAAAATTATACAAACACATGGGGGGAAAGACTGGAAGGATATATATATATCTCAAAGGTTTTGTGTGATTTTTCTTATTTTCTTAAAATGTTACAAGTGCAAGGCCGGGCGCTGTGGCTCACGCCTGTAATCCTAGCTCTTGGGAGGCCGAGGCGGGCGGATTGCTCAAGGTCAGGAGTTCAAAACCAAGCCTGAGCAAGAGCGAGACCCCGTCTCTACTATAAATAGAAAGAAATTAATTGGCCAACTGATATATATATATAAAAAATTAGCTGGGCATGGTGGCACATGCCTGTAGTCCCAGCTACTCGGGAGGCTGAGGCAGAAGGATCACTCGAGCCCAGGAGTTTGAGGTTGCTGTGAGCTAGGCTGACGCCACAGCACTCACTCTAGCCTGGACAACAAAGTGAGATTCTGTCTCAAAAAAAAAAAAAATGTTACAAGTGCAAATGAATTAATTTTTAAAAGCCAAAGTGGCAGAGTCAGGATTGGAACCCATTGCCAGACAACTTGTAGTGGGGATGGGATTTTCTAGACTCCCCCCTAGTGACCCTGAGCTCCCCCCTCTACAGTCCTTCCAGTGTCATGGTTCCTCTCATTCCAGCTGGGCCTCCACCTCCAACTGCAGCCCTCGCCCAAGAGACTGGGACAGAGCAGAGGAGGGCTTGGCAGGATTGTCTCCCAGGCCTGGGCATTGAGTGGGGCTGGCACTGAGGCACCCTGTTGCACCACCTCCCGGTCCGGTTCCCTGAGGGCAGCCACCTTGCAGTAGCCTCTGTGTCTCTGGGACTAACACTTGGGGAGGAAGTGTTGGAGGAAGGAGACACAACACCGGGCAGCCTCAGTAGCTATGTGATTTGGTCAGAATGAGGTAGGAAGCGCCTCCACCAGGAATGTGAACGTACAGAGAAGGTGCGGGTGATTATTACTCTTATCAGCGCTGCCGTCACTGTCGCCGAATGTGAGACACCCCCTCCCCCCGCCAGACCAGTGATTGCGCCAGAGCTCCTGCGCGTTAGCAAGCAGGTGACGCCGCAGCTGACGGCCAGCCAGGGCGTGGGTGGCGGGTGAGGGGCGGAGGTAAGGGGGATAAGAGGGCGCGTTCCCATCCGGGAGGCGAGAACTCTCCCGTGGTCCCCGGCAACAAGGGAAGGGGGCGCCCTCCGTCCCTCCCGCACTCCTTTGGGACGCACACTGGCGCGCGCCGCGTCCTCAGGTGCTCCGGGCTTCCCCGCGTCAACCGCAGCCAGGGCGCCCCCCGCGACGCCGCCATTCATTCCTCCTCCTACACCACGGGCGCAGCGCGGGCCTTCAGGGGCGGGGAACTGCGGGCGCCGCGGGCGCTTTGAGTCGGGATTTCGGTGCCAGCTGCCGGGCTGGGGGTGAGGGCGTCCGCCCCGGTGCGCGCTGCATCCGCCCAGTTACTAAGGAGAGACTGAAATGCACAGATTCGAGAGACGGAGCTACGAGGGCAGGCACTCAGATACAGGGGCCAAGCATGGGGATAGATGCGGAAAGGCAAAGACACTTAAGAGACAGACGTGGACAAAGACCGTAACACATCAAAAGAAGTATGGGGACACAGACAGAGGACACAGACACATAGAGATAGACGGGCATGTAGATAGGCAGAGACAGCAATACAGAAGGGCAGAGACGCGCAGACCCTGAAGAACTACGTAAGACCCGCGGGCAAATAGGATACAAGAGCGCGCCAACTGCGAGGGCACCATCCACTGGCCTGAGCTCTTTTCGGAGTCCTGCCGGTTCGTGGCTTCCCCTTCCCACCTGGAACCTGACCCTCCCCCTGCCTTATTTCCCATGCCCCCCCTTTCCATTGCCTGCGGTCCCCTTCCGGCCCAGACGCGCCCCTTCAGCTTTCTGTCCACAACCCCGCTGCCAGTCCCCCTTACACGCCTCTCCTAGCCTGGGTGTCGGACTCCGGCAGGTACCAGGCTGGATCCCGCCCCACCTCCAACCCCGCCTCTCGCCGCCACATCCCGCCCGCGTTGGCCAATACAGTTCCCTAAGGCCCATGTGCCGTCCATTCCCCGCCACGGTGCGGGAACCTCCCACTTCTGCTGCCTCCTCTCCCTGGCTAGCTGGGCGCGCTGCTGACCCCCGGCCCCGCCTCTTTTCCGTGGCCTGTGCCCGCCCCGCCTCCCCCGCGCCCCGCCCTCGGTGCTCTGCCGCAGTCGGGCGCTCATCGTCATTCCGCTCTCACCGCCGCCGCCGCCCCCGCCCCCGCCCCCGCCCCCAGCCCCCGCCCGGTTCCCGCCACCGCCACCGCCGCCGCCGCCGCCTGCCCAGCGGCCCGGGAGGCGGAGGCGCGGGGGAGGAGGCCCCGCTTGGCTCCGCAGCCCCGGATGCTGCATGACTTCATCCTTCCGCCGGCTACCCTGCTGAGCTAGGGCCGGTCCGGCAGCTAGCCCGCCGCCCGCGCCCCGCTGCAGTCCCGCGCCCGCCCCGCGCCCGCCATGTCCGAGATCCTGCCCTACAGCGAGGACAAGATGGGCCGCTTCGGCGCAGACCCCGAGGGCTCCGATCTCTCGTTCAGCTGCCGCCTGCAGGACACCAACTCCTTCTTCGCGGGCAACCAGGCCAAGCGACCCCCTAAGCTGGGCCAGATCGGTCGAGCCAAGCGAGGTACGCGGCCCGGGCCCGGAGTCGCCGCCTGACCCAGAAACCCTTCGCCGGGCGCCCCCCGGCTGCCGTTCCCCGCCGAGTGCCCGCAGCTCTTGCCGCAGACCAGCGCAGCCAACCGCTCTTCGGCCCGGGCTTGGGGGGGTCCCCGCTGCAGTGTTGTGTCCCCTTCTTCCCCTCTCCCGGGAACACAGTGCCCCGGATTCGATGTTCGCCACCTCTGGAAGCAGAGCCCTGGCACCCGGGCGAGGGGGAGGGGCCGGTAGGGGCATTTGGGGATGCCTGAAGTGGGAACAGGGAGTGCCGGGCCGATTCTTAGGAATCAAATACTGAGTCGGTGGATGCTACGAAGAACCAGAATCTTCGGGTCGAGAGGGGCGTCCAACTGGAGAGAGGGCATGGAGGCTGGGGGTTCGGTTGTCCTGCTTGTTTGCATGCGGAGGGAGGTTCTGTTGGTACCAAGATTGGAAGAGGGGTTCAAGCGGCAAGAGGCTTAGGTTGGGGAGAGGGCTGGATTAGCTGGATATTCCGTTTGAGCCCCATTTGAGGAGGGGGTTCTGTTGAAGTGAGGGCTGAAGAGGGGGAGTCCATGAACTAGAGGTCTCTGATCAGCTCAGATAGGGGAAGATTCAGGCGGCGGGAGGACCTGCACTGGGCAGAATAGCAGGAGTCTTTGGAAGAGGGGCGTTCCGCCTTAGGGAGGGGAGGGGTCTGTGGGAGAGAGGCTTGGCAGAAGAGTTCAGATGGGGGAAGACACAGTGGCACTGGGTTCCGAGGGGCGTCGCTGGGCCGCGGGCAGTAGCCGCGCAGGGCGCTAGGACTCGGGGCCGATTGTCGCCGACACCCCCCGAGGCCGCGCGGCTAACGCGCTTTCTCCCTGCGCAGTGGTGATCGAGGATGACCGGATAGACGACGTGCTGAAGGGGATGGGGGAGAAGCCGCCGTCCGGAGTGTAGACGCGCCGGCTCGGGCGGCGGGCTCCGGGCCCAGCCTCGCAGCGGCCAGGAGGGCGGGCTGGCGATGCGGCTGCGGGCGCCCCCCGCCCCGGCCCAAGCGCCCGCGGGCGGGGGCTGCAGGGCCGCGCCGCCGCCGCCGCCAGGCACTCCGGAGCTGTCCGCTTCAGCACCACGGCGGCTGCGGTAGCGGCAGCGCGGACCCGCCAGGAGCCCGCCGCCGCCGCGCTCATGCACTTTAGAACCTCGGGCCGCAGCCCCACCCCGCACACCGGAACGGACACAGAGACCCGCGGCCCCCAGTCCCCGGCCCGCCCCCTCCCGCACGGCTCCCCTGCCCCGCCCCCCTCCGGCCAGTCTGGTCTGTGGACCCGGCGACCGCAGGTGTCGGACCGCGCGGCCAGGGATGTTTGGCTGCGCATTTGCATGAGCTTTCCACCCACCTGAGCCCAGCCCTCCGGGCCGTTCCTCACCCCCACCCCTGTCTGGCGTGACCCCAGCCTCAGCCTCTTTCTAAGGGACTTCCTCAGCACATTTGTATTTTTATATCCGACTCTTTGTTTACTGGCTCTGCTCATGGTTCTGCCCTCCCCTCAGTCTCAGCCACGCTCTTCTGCGCCTGGCAGATAGGATGGGTGTTGAGGCTGGGGTGGGACAAGCCCCCAATATGGTTACCAACCACATGGTCAGTCAGCCCAGGCCTGACCCCAGGAGGTTCTCTGGCAGACCATTCCCCCCCAAGGTATCATCACCTTCCAAGGGCCCAGATCTGATTTTACCTTGGACCCCTGCATCTTGCCCCTGGGAATCCACATGGGGACTGCTCTGCACCTTTGGATGACATCTGTGGCCCTGGAGATGTTCTCAACCCAGGGGTGCCCTTTGTAAATGTTCCTCCATCCTCACTGTACCAGGAGCGTGTGAATAAACACAGACCTCCCTGTGTGTGTGTGGCGGCTGCTTAGGTCTGCTTAGGAGTCAGGCCAAAATCCGAGGGGGTCAGGTACTTGGGAATCTTAGGTGCAGGTGCTGGTGGGGGAGGGCTGCCAAGTGAAGACAGGCCAGCCTGTCTGGGAACATCAGTACAATGTAGCCACCTTGGGTACATGTATAACCCAAGCAGGACAGATCAGCAGTGTTGGGGCTGCAGCTGGGGTCAGAGGCATAAAGCAATCTAGATTCAAAGTCAGCAGCCTCCTGTGGATAAATCCAGTTTGGATGAGGATCAGTAACAGGCCTCAGGGAGGGAGTCTCTGAGGCTGGCTGGTGTCCAGAGAGGTTATGCTGAGCCTTCCCCCAGGGGATGAATCACTGGTGGTTCAATGTGGTGGCAGGGGTTAGGGAACCCAGAAGAGATCTAAGGAACCCAAGAAGGAAGCCAGAAATCTGGAATCTAGTTAGAGGGGCTATATTGGTTCATGTGGGTTTACTCCCACCTTCTATCTTAGGCATGAGGTCCCTGGGGAGTGAGGACCTTGGACCCAACCTCAAGCCCTGAGTCAGGAATTCCAACTACATGAGAAGCCCAGGAGAGAATGGCAGCGAGGGCTGGAGGACCATGCTTCTGGCCTCACAGCTGGATGGCACTAAGGAAATCCTCATGATCTGAATCCTGAAGGAAGCAGGGTGAGGTAGGAGGTCTAGGGGGTGAAAGGATCTGGGACCCCAGGGCCAACTGGGCCACACTGAGCTCTCCGCCCTTGTGCATGAGGTAGAGATGGAAGTGGAAACCACTGCTGTAGGTTGCATGGCTCAGGGACCAACCATAACGGGCCTGGGCATAGTGTCTGGTCCGAAAGTGGGGTGCAGCAGAGGTCATTGAGATGAACCGGCCCCCAGGGACCAGCACGCGGCTCACCTGCATGACAGAGAGAAGCCATTGGTGAGAAGTCGATCTGCAGGTTCTCAAAGGTCAGTACTGCTCCAGAGGCCCTCCCAGTCAAACCTCAGGTACTACCCTACATCCAGTAGCTCAGGCTTTCCATGGCAAAGAGTAAGCCACCTTCTCTGCCCCTAGCCATTCCATAGGGATAGAGCTATATTCTAGATAGGTATCCTCATTAGTATAGTGGTGGGTAAAAAAATAAAGAAAAGAAAAAAGGTAAGTAGACAGGCAGAAACATGGGAGTGATTTCAGGTGTGGGGAGCACTATTTTTCTATCAACTGCTCACCTTCCCAGTCTGCATCACCTGTCTGGAACCTGGCTGCTACCTCATCCCTATGGCAACCCAGTAGCCAAACATTAGCCTTTGTGCGCCTGGCCACTCCAGCCCTCTCTAATGTTGACCCAGCTTAACCCTCCCCTCTTCAGAGAACCACACTCCTAAGGTGACCCACTACCTGCCCCAAACCCTGCTTTCTTCTGGCTTCTGAGTTCTTCCAATCTGCTGAAACCTCAACCCCTCACCCCCACCTCTTGATCTACCCTTCTCTCTTGTTCCCTCACCTCACTCAACACCTGGTCCACAGTGTGGACACCTTCAGAAGACACACTCCAGGGATCCTGTTCCCCAGCCAGCAGAGCATCCAGCGTGCCCTTCTCGAGCACCACATCAAAGGAGCCACTGGGGAAGTTCAATGCCCGCACGTCCATGGTCTCCCAGCGCAGCTTGGGCACGTGGGCATAGCGAGCCTGCATGGCAGCCACCACAACTGATGAGTAGTCCACACTGGTCACATCAGGGAAGCCTCCAAGGAACAGCTCATAGCTCAGGGCACTGTTCCCACAACCTGGCGTGGGAAGGGATGGATAGCAAAAGAGCTAGGTTAGCTTTGGTTCTCATCACCCTTTATTATCCCTCCACTCGGTCCATTTTCTCTCAGTCCAAACCCTTCAGTACTGAGAAGAGGTGGCATAGTGCAGAAAAGAGCATGAGCGCTGGAATCACACAGACCTGGCCACAAACCCTGGCTCTATCATTCCTAGCTGTATGGCCTAGGGTGAGTTGTTTAAATAGTAGGAACTTGTATTTGCTATTCAGAAAAAAGAAGACAACAATACCTAGTATACACTAGGACATGATGCACTAAATTTGAGAATTGAAATAGCTGGAGAGCAGCTAAAGGACATCTGAACTTGGGAGTTTAAAGATCTGGATTCTGATATCCCGAGTCACACAGCCATGGAAAATTATTCAACTCTTTGAGCCTCAGTTTCCTCAAACTCAGAATGGGGATAATATTGGCATCATTAGGACCATCATATTATTATTATTAGGATAATATTAGTATTAGGATACTAATTAATATTAGTACTAGGATAATACTAATATTGTCCTAATCCTTAACCCTAACCTCTTAGAGAAACTTGGAAGATATTAACCCCGGGAAGGCTTCATGTTAGGAGTTATTCTCCTACTTTTTCTTTTTTGTTGTTGTTGTTGTTTGTTTGTTTGAAACAGAGTCTCACTCTGTTGCCCAGGCTAGAGTGAGTGCCATGGCATCAGCTTAGCTCACAGCAACCTCAAACTCCTGGGCTCAAGCATTCTCCTGCCTCAGCCTCCCGAGTAGCTGGGACTACAGGCATGCGCCACCATGCCTGGCTAATTTTTTCTATATGTATTAGTTGGCCAATTAATTTATTTCTATTTATAGTAGAGACAGGGTCTCACTCTTGCTCAGGCTGGTTTTGAACTCCTGACTGCAAGCAATCTGCCCACCTCGGCCTCTCAGAGTGCTAGGATTACAGGCATGAGCCACTGCGCCTGGCCTCCTACTTTGTTTTCTAAGGCAGTGAAGGGGAAACTAGGTGGGGACACACAGTGGAGCCAATCACTTATAATTTTTTTTTTAATTTGAAACTTTTTTTTTTTTTGAGACAGAGTCTCTGCTGCCCTGAGTAGAGTGCAGTGGTGTCATCATAGCTCACAGCAACCTCAAACTCCTGGGCTCAAGCAATCCTCCTACCTCAGTCTCCTGAGTAGCTGGGACTACAGGTGTGTACCACCATGTCTGGCTAATTTTTCTATTTTTAGTAGAGACGGGGTCTCAATCTTGCTCAGGCTGGTCTCAAACTCCTAAGCTCAAACAATCCTCCTGCCTGGGCCTCCTAGAATGCTAGGATTGCAGGCATGAGCCACCGCACCTGGCCCCCTTGTAATTCTTAATGTATGTATTGAACACTACATATTGGGCTCTGCTAATGAATAAAAGTTCCTGTCCTCAAGGAGCTCATGCTCCTTTGTTTTTCCAGTGGGAAGAACAAATGTGTAACCAAGCAGTTGCCCCATAACACGATGAGTGTTTCAATAGGGCCACGCTAAGAGAGCACATAGGAATGCCCCAACCCCACTTCAGGTGGGTCAGCCAAGGGTTTCTAGGGAGCTGACAACAAAGCATAGTTTTGAAAAACACAGTTTTGACAACTTCCAACATTTTGATGAGAAGTGCCAGGAATGCAGTACCAAAGAGGGAAGGGCCAGGTTAGAGAGGGGGTGGAGGTTAGAAGAGTAAATGTGGATCTACAGCCCACTGGACTTCCTCAGAAGATCCAGTGGCCCTCTTCCAGGCCCTCCTGTGGCCAGCCTCAGCCTGAGAACAGGGCTGTGATAGCTTATGATGCCCTCATGCAGGGATCTCCAGCTCCTGGGATTAGGTTGCCTGTAATCCCCATTTGCCTTCCTAAGAGGATCACAGGATCAGTAGTTGTGATAGCCCTAATCTAGCAGGGCTTGGCACCTGGACAGGGCACCCAGAAGCAGCTGGCTGGTCCTCAGCTGCCCCTTCCCATGTTCCTTTTCAAGCCCTGGGGCTCAGGGAGAGTACTATCTTGGCTGGGAAGACCCAACACATGCTTCCCCAAGTGCTGGAGCCACAAAAGCTCTGGTAGATACAGCACTTGGGATGGGGGGTAAGGGTGACTGAACAGGAGACCGACTCAGTTCCAGGCTGAAATCCCACTGGGTTCTCTGACTCACAATCCCTTCATTACCCCATACCTAACTTCATGTGCCTGCAGAGCTCTGCCCAACTGTGGATAACCCCACATTTCCTTCATTTGTTCCCCTTGGTACAGGAAGGCATTTCCCAAGAGAAGTTTACCAAAGAGGAAGGGAGAACAAAACCTAACCACTGGGTTGGTTATGCTTACAAAGCAGTGATTTCTGATTCTGTTGCCTCAGTAACATGGGGCTAGCAATTAAGGTGGGGCTTCAGAAGGCCACTGCCTTCCAAAGTGGGGCCTTAGGGAAGCAGAGTCTTGAAGAAATGATCCAAATCCAAGAACACACCACATGGGATCCTGGAGCTATGTGGATGCTAACTCAACATCAAGAGACTGAAATGTTAGCCAGAAAGCCAATTCATTCACTTTTAACAGGAAAAATAGCCACCACAGAGACTGGTGTTTAATCCTCTAGTCAGTCCCTTTTCTCCTTATAGGAAATCTAAATTGGAAGCCAAATTATGATTAGAAGATTCCTATGGAGCATGGAGTCAAGCAAGGATAGAGAATCAGAGAAGTATTAGGTCATTAAGTATGAAATGTCTGATTTCAAATCAAAAGTGTAGTTTATATCTCAAACAAGAAGCAGTACAATTAATCAAAGTTTGAGCCTAAACTATTGACACAATTTTGCCATCTAACAGCTTATTTATGCCAGCAGTGAAGAAGCCTGTAGAGAATTGGATATTTTTCCTTGCAAGAAGTAGTCCAAAGCCTGGAAGAAATGGGAATCGGTTGGTGCAAGGTCTGGTGAATATAGTGGATGACAGAGAGTTTCCGAGTCCAGCTGCTATAGTTTGAGCAGCATTGTTCCTGCCACATGTGGTTGAGCATTGTCTTACAAGAGGATTGGCCTATCCCTATTGACCAATCTCAGCTGCTTTATCAGAAGCATCCTCATCATTTTGTCCAACTGGTTGCAGCAGACATCTGCTGTAATTGATTGACCAGGTTTCATGAAGCTGTAGTGGATATACCATTGGACCACCAAACAGACACTACTAGCTTTTTTGGATTAATATTTAGTTTTAGACTATGTTTCGGCACTTCATCTTTGTCCAACCACTATACCAAACACTTGCGATTGTCAAAAAGAATATCACATATCACACATAACTTCATCACACATAACAATATGGTGTAGAAATGTTTCGCCTTTATGTCGTGACAGCAAAGAAGGCAAGCTTCGAGATGATTTCTCTTCTGATGCTTGTTTAGCTCATGCAGAACCCATCTATCCAGCTTCTTGATCTTGCCAATTTGTTTCAAATGGTCCAATATTGTTAGAATAGTAATGTCAAACCTTGCTGCTAATTCATGCATAGGCTGAGATGGATTCTCTTCCATTATAGCTTTCAGCTCATCATTATCCACCTTGGCCTCAGGTCAGCCACATGGCTCATTTGCAATTTTAAAATCACCAGAACAGAACTTCTCAAACCATTAACATCCTGTGCATTCCTTAGCCACATCCTTTGCAAACAATTCATTGACATTTTGAGCTGTCTGTGCTGCATTGGTTCCATGATAGAACTCACATTAAAAAATAACATGAATTTTAGTAGCATTTTCCTACTGAAGAAACTGCCCTAACTTGAACCCCTGCCTGGTGTGTGGTTTCAGAATGTAATGAGGACCCCATTTAAGCTCTAGGAAGGTACTGGGGGCAACTCAGGGTGGATACAGTGATGTTGTCCCATCCCATTGAGGGAAAGTTAGTTTAGTTGTGAATATCACACACCATCATGAGGTTCTCTGCAGGAAAGCGCCACTCCCCACAGCTTTGGCCAGAGTGGCCTCTCATGAGCAGACAGCTGCTGGCCCCTGCCTCTCAGACCCTGGACAGGCCTTTGCTGGGGACTCACTTCCCTCCTGGGCACTGCTCATACATGGTCCAGCCTCCTGAGGCACATGGCCTTGAGCTACTGCCCTTTGGTGGGCTGCCCGTTGGTCCTAGAGTGGGGCCCCCAGGAGTGACTAAGGCTCCCTCATCCTCCCCACCCTGAGTTCAGGCCTTTGCCTTTCTCCTGCCCATCTCCCTGTCTTGGCTTGACTGACTGCATGGCTGTCCTCCAGTGCCAGGTGGCTCCTGCTGCCAGTGACCTGGCAGGAGACCTCTGGTAATTATAAAACTGTTCAACAAGGAAATTTGGAATGAAGTGGAAGAATGAAGCAAGCCACATTCCTACCCTGAAGCCCACTTCCTTCCAGCCTCCAGTGGGTTGCTAGGCCGTGTTCAGAAAGATGCTCTTGCCACACTCGGCCGTGGGGCCTTGGTCTATCCCAAGTTTGCTCTTTTCCCCATGTGGTGATGGATATCTCTGGACAAAAACTTGATTTAAAAACTTAAAATCATGCTTTAATATCTTAGTCCATTCAGTGTCTTATAACAAAATACCACAAACTGTGTGGCTTATAAACAACAGAAATCTATTTGTCATAGTTTTGGAGGTTGGAAGCCCAAGATCAAGATACTGGCATTAATCCCATTCCTGAGGACTCTACCCCCATGACCTAAGCATCTCCCAAAGGCCCCAACTCCTAATACCACCACCTTAGGTGGGGGGATTCCAACATACCAATTTTGGGGAGACACAAACATTCAGAACATAGCAAGATATTACAGAGCTAACAATTGCAGAGTGCCTCTGATCAAGCTCAGCATTCCAAGACAAGGCATGTGTATGTGAAGAGTGAAATGGGCTCTGACACACACAGCCCTGACCCTGGGTGAGCAGCCATGCAGGTCTCTTCCTTCTGCAGCTACATGCAAGGGCGGGCCTCCTCTAAGGCCTCCCCACTGCACTCAGTCCTCTCCAGAGGACCAGGGCAGGGGCTAGGGATGACCCACAAGGCTGGGGAAGAGGATAGCAAAGGGATGAAACCCCAAAGTGGCAGCTGGGTTGGTGAGGGTTTCCCCCACATGCCCAATATGTGTTAAAAATCAGACTCCCTACATCTGCCTGAGAAAAATAAAAACATACAACCCCCCAAAAAACAAAATAACACAAATTTTTGACTTATTCATGGTTCTACAAAAATTGCTCAAAAAAAAAAAAAATTGGAAGATAATCACAAGCCAAAACATGAATTTGAAAGACTGAGGATGTACCTTCAAATAAAAACAAAGCAAAAAGTGTCAAAGTGAAATGTCAGAGATATCAACCATCAAACTTAGTACTTAAGGAAATCAGACATTTCACAGTTAATAACCTAATATAATAATGGCAAAACAGGAATAGCCATCCATATGGGTTCACCTGATATGAGGATATTTTAACTGTAGGGACCAGAAACACAAGTCCTCAGGCAGGGCATTCTGTTCTCTGAGCAGTCTTGGATAAACTGCCTCTCTGATTCCCATTTTCTTTTCTTTTTTCTTTTTTTTTTTTTTTGAGACAGAGTCTCATTTTGTTGCCCAGGCTAGAGTGAGTGCCATGGTGTCAGCCTAGCTCACAGCAACCTTAAACTCCTGGGCTCAAGCAATCCTCTGCCTCAACCTCCCAAGTAGCTGGGACTACAGGCATGTGCCACTATGCCCAGCTAATTTTTTCTATATATATTAGTTGGCCAATTAATTTCTTTCTATTTATAGTAGAGACAGCATCTTGCTCTTGCTCAGGCTGATTTCGAACTCCTGACAGCGAGCAATCTGCCGCCTCGGCCTTCCTGAGTGCTTGATTCCCATTTTCAATAATAATGATAGCTAAAAGTCATTGAACGCCAGGCACTATGCTAAACATTTTATAAGAATTATTTCAATTTATTTTTGCAAGAGATCCATATAAAAGATACTATTATTACCATTCCCATTTTCTAGATGGGAAAATTGAAGAAAGTAAGAAACTTTCCCAAGGTCACATGGTCAGTGGAAAAGCCAGAATTTGGGCCCACGTGTGTATCACTCCAGAACCAGAGCTCTTAATCCACTGTGCTCAACTGCCTCCAGTTTTCAAGAGGCTCACTAGCCTCCAGCAGTGACATTAGTGACATTCCATCTTTAGCTATATCAATATGACCATTATGCTGTAATTCACAATGTAGTTATTTTACCAGTTTCAACAGAGTTCTAGCATCCTCTCCCTCTCCTTCCTTCCTTCCTTCCTTTCTTTCTTTTTTTTTTTTTTTTTTTTTGAGACAGAGTCTTACCCTGTTGCCAGGGCTAGAGTGCAGTGGCATCATCATAGCTTACTGCAACCCCAAACTCCTGGGCTCAAGCAATCCTCCTGCCTCTGCCTCCCAAGTAGCTGGGACTACAGGTTTGGGCCACGACACTGGGCTAATTTTTCTATTTTTAGTAGAGATGGGGTCTTGCTCTTGCTCAGACTGGTCTTAAACTCCTGAACTCAAGCATTCCTCCTGCCTCGGCCTCCCAGAGTGCTAGGCTTACAGACGTGAGCCACCGCACCTGGCCTAAATGCCTCTCTTCACCCATCTGTGTGGTATAGCAAAAGTATACAGAAGCTCACATCAGAAGGCACCTTTACTTCACTACTTACTTGCAGCATGACAGTAGTGGACACTGTTGGTCCTCTGACCAGATCCCCACTGAGTCCTTTTAACAATTGTGTATGTCCCAGTTTTGGTGTGCGTTTGCTTCTAATGGTTTGCATCTGTGACTCTTCAGGCTGAAAATACCATCAGAGAAACTTGCCTGAGATCATAATCTTGCTTGGCTCCTTCCCTTTCCCTGTTCCCATGATCTCTTACCAATTCTCCTGGGAGCACTTTCCTAACAAATGACTTAGACATGAATCCTCATCTTAAGGATTTGCTTCTGGGGAACCAACCTAAGATAATGACCTATAGCAAGTGTTGCCAAAATCTAGCTTGCCACTTGTTTTTGACAATAAAGTTTTATTGAAACATAGCTACTCTCATTCACTTTTGTATTGTCTCTAGCTGCTTTTCCACCACCACAGCAGAACTGAGTAGTTGTGAGAGGGACTATTATTAGGCCATTTTCAGAAACGTTTACAGACCCATAATCTAGAGTAAATCTCTTAATACTTATGACTCACCTTTAGGAGATGTCATAAGAATTAAGTAAGTTAGAAAGGGCGCAGCACATTTCCTGGCACTTACCAGGTGTTCAACTTATGTTTGTTGAGGTGGAATGTAACATAGGGTGCTCAAATTGTGGGTTCTGTCCTTAGATCTTAAGGATCATACCTAGAAACTGTTCTCTTTTGATTTTTAGATGTTTCACCTTTCCTATCCAGAAAAGGATATCTCCCAGTCAAGCAGAATTTAAGATGATATTACTCTGACAATCACCAGCATAAAAATCAGTTGTAGAGTTTATTGAAAATATAGATTCCTTGGACCTACCTTAGACCATCCCTAGAATTAGAATCTCAGGGTGGGGTCTAGCATTCCTGGTGATTTTCATACACACTAACGCTTGAAAAACATACATCTATGGTAAATCTATGAATGAATGCAATGGTTTAAAATGACAATTTTCAAGAAAGTGTTTACCTGTGAGGAAAACAGGTTTAGGGAGGACCACACAGAAAATTTTGAATGTAATTTTCATTTTCCAAGGTATTGTTCTAGGTATCTTTCATACTCATTCAATCATCCTAAAACTCAATAAATAAGTCATCTTATTTCTTTAAGGCTGAGAAAATGGAGGCACAAAAGTATTCTGTCTAGGATTACACAGCCAGTATAAGCTGAGCCAAGATTCCAACATAATTAGCTGCCTCCCGAGTTCAAGTTCTTTTTTTGAGACAGAGTCTCACTCTGTCACCCTGGCTAGAGTGCAATCCCATAATCATTGCTCACTATCACTCCAACTCCTGGGCTCAAGCGATCATCTTGCCTCAGCCTCCCAAGTAGCTGGGACTACAGGCATGCACCACCACGCCTGCCTAATTTCTTCTAATTTTTGCAGAGATGGGGTCTCACTCTTGCTCAGGCTGGTCTTGAACTCCTGAGCTCAAGCAATCCTCCTGCTTCAGCCTCCCAGGGTGCTAGAATAACAGGAGTAAGCCACCATGCCGGGCCCAGAGTTCAAGTTCTTAACCACTAAGTTACACAGTTACACTTCCTTTTTAGTCCTAGTAATGTTCCATTTCTCAGACTAAATAGAACAGACACACACATTTGACTCGTTATTTATAGCTTATATATACTGTATTATAGATGTCTTTTATATTTATTATATTAAATACTTCATTTAAACATATGAAGGCTTTTCCAAAGAGCAAAGATAAAAACTGTAACTGTACGGAAACCTGTTACGCATTCAAACTTCACTAGAGCCTTCAAAGGCTGACAGTGGGAGTAAACCCCAAGAAGGCAGTTGGACTTCTCAGAGACCCACGTTGCGTCTCGGCACTTCCCTTTGCCGAGTCGTGCTAATCTCGGCTGCTATCTCCCCTCCGACCTCAGAGGGCGCTTTACTCACCGTCACTTCACAGGAGACATAGGACAAAGTTTCAGTTAGGGGTCTGAGAGTGATGAGACGATAACTCTGCCCAGTACCCATGGGACCAAAAGAAAAGCGCTAAGCATTGTGCTGGAGGTGCCTGCACGTGCCGTATCCGACTTGAACTCGCAGTTTCTAGAACTGAATCTGAAGCTCAGAACAGGTTCATGACCTGTTCTAAGTTATACAGTCAATTAGCGCTGGGACTTAAATTAGGTCCTCCGAGTTCTCCGGTGCCCAAGGCTGCCTCCCGAGGGCCCCCGGACCGACAATCTCTAACTCATGTTTGCCCTAGCTAAATACAGCCAGGATTCTGAAGGTATCGGATCTTGGCTCTGGACTCGGGCGTCCTCTAAGAGAGGTAGACAGCAGGAAAGCGGACGGGGCCAGGCCCAGGCAGAGCCGATCCTGGCAACTCCACCTGGGTAGGGTAGCTGGGACTACCCACCTAGCACGAGGATACGGTCCTCGGGCCGTAGCTCCGGCTCTAGGAGGGCACGGAAGGAGGAGAAGTCCCCGAACCACTCGTAGGGGGCAGAATCAGCTGCGTCTCGGTAGCGCTGATCCCAGTACTGGACCTCTTGGTACCCGCAGTTTCGCTCCGGTAACTCTGGCTGGGGAGCGGTGGCCGCTGGAGAGGCCATGCTCTCAGCAGCCCGGCCGCCAGAGCCCCTAGCCTTCCTAGCCAATCCGGATGGCGGATGTGGGAGGCGGGAACCTTTTGTCTCCGCCCGCCGCCTGCAGTTGCCCAACACAAACACGTGGAACTTCCGTCCTCCGCTAAGCGCACTTAGAAAAATCCTCCGGGTACGAAAACCGTAGTGTCCAGACCCTGAATCCTCCGGCTTTACTGCCCACTCGTTTCCTAGGACCACACTAATAGTGTCAGACTCATTCGGGCTCTTCATTGCGTCCTCTTATATTTTCAACGTGAACGGCTCCTCCCGTTAAGAAGTCTGAAAATTAGTGAAGGGTTCATTTCTTTCCAAGCCGTTTTTGAGTACCCAGAAGGATCTAAGGAGAGGCGGGGACAGGGCGTTTTTCCTCCAGAAGAGACAGCACGGACACTGATATTCCCAACACAGGCGAAATGGGATGCTGTGTTGGCGAGGTGGGAGTGGAAAGTGAACAGGAATGTTGCTTTTCTGGGCATTTGTTCTACGTTAGCGCTTGTGTACCTCAGGGCTGGGTATAGACTGAGGAATAAGATTTTGTTCATGCTCGTGCGGAGCATATAGTACATCAGAGGCGACATGTGGAAGTAGCTAATTTTAGTGGAGTAAATAAGGACTCTGGCTACTCCAGTCGGCGCTTAGTCCAATGGAACGCCCGGCGCGGGAAGTGGAACCAAATGTGGAAGGGTCGGGTTTCCGGGGTGGTGGACCCACGCGAGCGGCGCACCGTCAACATGGCGGCTGGGCTGCGGAAACGCGGCCGGCCGGGTTCCGCGGCCCAGGCGGCGGGATTCTGCAGGCAATGGCTACAGCGCGCCTGGCAAGAGCGGCGCCTACTGCTGCGGGAGCCACGCTACACGCTGCTGGTGGCCACCTGCCTCTGCCTGGCGGAGGTGGGCATCACCTTCTGGGTCATTCACAGGGTGGCATGTGAGTGCGCCGACGGGGAGGGGAGGGAAGGGAGGAAGATCCCACCCCACCCCCCACCCCCGACCCAAGCTCAGAATTGGAACTCAAAACCAGACTCCAGATTCATTAATTCATCAATTGCAGACCCATATCCCCTACCCGAAACCCAAGCCTGCTCGACAGAAAATTGGATGTTAATCCCGCCCACCATGACGGATGCGGCGACCCTAGAGATTGGCTTCTCCTCTGAACTTACAACCTGCCAGGCTAAGAAAGCAAACCAGCCCGGTAGTCGACCTAGGCCCTAGTTAAATGCACTGCTGCTGCTGCTTATGTCTGTGGCTTTGGACACGTCATTTCCCTTCCTGGATCTAAATTTTCTCATCTGTTCAATTCTGATGTCTTTGAAAGTCTCTTCTCAACGATGGCATTTTGTGACCTCTGGAGTCCATTAGGCATTATTGGCGACTCTTCTGGGGTTGACTCTAGACACTGGGCTTAAGGCACCTGGCTTTCTTGCTAAAGATAATTAATTCAACACATTTATTGAATGCTTATTATATGCTTAACGTTGTGCTAAATGCCAGTGGTACAGTGGTGAATAAAAGAAACACATTTCTGACTTGGGTATGTAGGCCTGGAAAAAGATAAGTTAGCAGACAATTACAATGTATCATATTCATTATGACAGTAGTAAGACAGGATGCTATAAAGGACACAGGAGGGCATTAAAGTCAGACCTGAGGAGTCAGGCAAGGCTTCATAGACGGCCCTACAGTCCCCGCACTGGAAGGTAGGAACTAGCTAGTTGAGGAAAGAAGGAAAAGAGAAGAGGAAAGACTGTTCTGGGCAGAGAGGACCATGTATCAAAAACCTCCAGTCAGTCCAGGCACCATGGCTCACACCTTTAATCCTAGCACTTTGGTAGGCCAAGCTGGGAGGATTGCTTGAGGCCGGGAGTTCATGACCAGCCTGGCCCCATCTCTGTAAAAAATAGAAAAATTAGCCAGGTGTGGTGGTGCATGCCTGTAGTCCCAGCTACTCAGGAGGCTGAGGCAGGAGGATCACTTGAACCTAGGAGTTTGAGGTTGCAGTAAGCTGTGATGATGCCACTGCACTCTAGCTGGAGTGACAGAGTCAGACCCTCTTTAAAAAAAAAAAGTTTAAAAAAAACTTACAGTCTGCTGGGCACAGAAGCTCACGCCTGTAATCCTAGCACTCTGGGAAGCCAAGGCAGGATGATTGCTCAAGGTCAGGAGTTCGAATCCAGCCTGAGCAAGAGCGAGACCCCGTCTCTACTAAAAATAGAAAGAAATTAATTGGCCAACTAAAAATATATAGAAAAAATTAGCTAGGTATGGTGGTGCGTGCCTGTAGTCCCAGCTACTCAAAAGGCTGAGGCAATAGGATTTCTTGAGCTCAAGAGTTTGAGGTTGCTGTGAGCTAGGCTGACGCCATGGCTCTCTAGCCTGGGCAACAGAATGAGTCTCTGTCTCAAAAAAAAAAAAAAGAAAGAAGTAACTAGATCATGTTGTCCTCTTCTAGACACAGAGATTGACTGGAAAGCCTATATGGCCCAGGTGGAGGGAGTCATCAATGGCACTTATGACTATACGCAACTGCAGGGTGACACTGGACCACTTGTGTAAGTGGGGATAGGAGGCTCAGGGAGGGCGTGAGGGGCTGGCTGGGTACCAGGCTAGGTGGCCTGACCCAGGCTCACATTCCCTCTCATCTTCCAGATACCCAGCTGGTTTTGTGTACATCTTTATGGGGCTATACTATGCCACTGGCCGGGGCACTGATATCCGCATGGCCCAGAACATCTTCGCTGTGCTCTACCTGGCCACCCTGTTGCTTGTCTTCTTGATCTATCACCAGACCTGCAAGGTAAGTCCATGCTACCAGAACTAAAAGGCCCCAACCTGGAATGGCTAGGGAGTGGGGATGATTCAGGCTTGTTGAGCTGACTTTGTTCCTCACTGTGCCCACCCCTCAGGTACCTCCCTTCGTCTTTTTCTTCATGTGCTGCGCCTCTTACCGTGTCCACTCCATCTTTGTGCTGCGGCTCTTCAATGACCCGGTGGCCATGGTGCTGCTCTTCCTTAGTATCAACCTCCTGCTGGCCCAGCGCTGGAGCTGGGGCTGCTTCTGTTTCAGGTCAACACCCCTCCCTTCTGGCCTCCTCTCTTACTTTGTGGATTTTCATTTCTTTCTTCCCAATTCTCTGTGACGGAGTAATGGAGTAGCCAGACAATGTGGGTCACTCGAGGCCCCACAGGCGAGTCCAGGTTCTGTAGAAAGTGCCCTGCCCTCCCACCCTCACACATGCCCTCTTCCCATCCTCTCTTCCCCCTAGACAACATCCATTGTTGGAATTGGTCATTGCACCTTTGAAATACTCAATATATGCTCACTCAGTTTGGGCATAGACACTAGGTATCTGCCCACTACCTCCAGTCTACTTGCAGGCTACCTTACCCTGCCTCTGGCTGTTCTGAGTGTGGACCCCACCCCCCATCCTGGAGTTTGCTGGCACAGGGGTGGGGTTATGTCTTTGGGCAGTGTGCATAGCCTGGGAGCTGATCTCCACCCTTCCTCTCCCCTGCCCACCCCAGCCTGGCAGTCTCTGTGAAGATGAATGTGCTGCTCTTCGCCCCTGGGTTACTGTTTCTTCTCCTCACACAGTTTGGCTTCCATGGAGCTCTCCCCAAGCTGGGCATCTGTGCTGCCCTTCAGGTACCTCCACCTTACTCTTCCACTTTCTAATGAAGTGGGTGCTACTCATCTGGTCTTCTTCCGTCCCTGAGACTTCCTCAAAGCCAAAAGGCAGGATTTTGGAGTTGTCTGAGCTGGGAAGCCACTATCTCTGGGCTTTAGCTTCATTATCTATAAAATAAGGGTATTGAACTAGATAGTCTCTGAGAGCCTTCCTAGCTCTGCCCATGTATTATTTGGTGAATCCAAACCTTAAAGTATTGTTATTACCTGCCTCCTCAGCTTCTTTGGCCACAGGCTCTGGCCTGGGTGTGTGTGTAGCTTTCCTAGTATTCTTGGTGGGAATTAACCTCTGAGGCCTACATCCTGCTCCCCTCAGGGATTAGCATTAAGCCTGGGGGTGAACCTTGGCAGCTCTGCTGACACCACACCCATCCTCAGGTGGTGCTGGGGCTACCCTTCCTGCTGGAAAATCCCGTTGGCTACCTGTCTCGCTCCTTTGACCTTGGCCGCCAGTTTCTGTTCCGCTGGACAGTGAACTGGCGCTTCCTCCCAGAGGCCCTCTTCCTGCATCGTGCTTTCCACTTGGCCTTGTTGGCTGCCCACCTCACCCTGCTCTTGTTGTTTGCCGTCTGCAGGTGGCACAGGTGAGAAGGTGGGAGGGGCAATGCTATGGCCTTAGGGGCTTCCCAGAGGAGATATTAAGCTCATGGAGGTGAGTCTGGAGTTTGGCCCACAATGAGGGCTTGATAAATGTCTAAATGGCTTCTTCCCAGGACAGGGGAAAGTATCTTGTCACTGCTGAAGGATCCCTCCAAAAGGAAGGTTCCACCCCAGCCCCTTACACCCAACCATATCCTTTAAATCATGGGAAGGTAAGTCTTGCCCTCTCCAGGTGCAGACAGGGTCAGTCAGTTAGGCCTTGGGGAGGGAAGGGGAACCCAATCATAGAGCTCTTATTCTTCACCAGACACTGAACTGAGCACTTTACATACTGAGGCATATTTTATTCTTAATTCTAAGTACTGGTCCACCATTATGAATGCTAACCCTCTCCCTGGTACTGTCCTAAGAGATTTAGCTACATTCTAACATTTAAAGCTCACAGGAGATGCTTAGACAGGGAGGTGCTCTTATTATCCTCATTTTATAGATGGCAAAATTAAGGCTTTAAGAGGTTAAGTAACTTACCAAGGTTACACAGCTAGTACGTGGGGGATTCAGACTCACTAGGCCTATGGCTGTAGGTGTTACTCCCTCCATATTAGATTGAGGAACAGGTCCAGATAGTAAAAAACTTGCCCAAAGGCATGCATCTAAGAATGGCAGAGCTAGTGGGCTATGTGACCCACAGACTTTTTTCCTCTGTTTTGAGACTGTCCCAACTCATGCCCCTTCTGCTCCTGCCCTTGGCCTTAACTACTGCATACAGATTGTTTCTACCCTCTTCACCTCCAACTTCATTGGCATCTGCTTCAGCCGCTCCCTTCACTACCAGTTCTACGTCTGGTATTTCCACACACTGCCCTACCTCCTGTGGGCCACACCTGCTCGCTGGCTCACACACCTGCTCAGGTACTGGCCGGGTCAACCTGGGAGAGTGGAAAGGGATTGGGAGCTCCTTATCCCAGGGCTATGACCATGGAGAAGCTAGAGGGATGTGGCTAGGGCATGAGGAGCTGAAGGGCTGCAGGCCTTGAAACTTGACAGAAGCTTGATCCTGTTTCTCATCTCCAGGTTGCTGGTGCTGGGGTTCATTGAGCTCTCCTGGAATACATACCCATCCACATCCTGCAGCTCTGCTGCCCTGCACGTATGCCATGCTGTCATCCTGCTGCAGCTCTGGCTGGGTCCGCAGGCTTTCCCCAAGAACGTCCAGCACAGCAAGAAAGCCCACTGAAATCCACCCCTTTCCCTCCAGTCCATTCAGGACCATGGGTGGGACAGATCCTGTCATCTTCCAAATAAACCTTGCCAAGTCTACCTCTGTATAACCCTCATGGAAATAAGGGAAGCTAGTGCCTGGACCAAGCTGTAAGGGGCATTTATGGGGCCGATAAAGAACTCACTCAGGTAGTCCTAAAGAGGCACTTTATTGCATAGGATTTGGGAACTGGCTCTCTCCCCTTCCACTGTGCTGCATGAAGCTCAGAGGATGGAGGAGAAGGGGGACGGGGTGGGGTGGGAGGAGCAGATTAGAGCAGGGAGGGCTGGGGGATGGTTTGAGAGGAGTGGGAGAGAGCACAGGCAGGCACTTTTTGTGGGGGTGAGAGGACTCTGGAAAGGGAGTAAGAAGCAGTGGGGACAGGCTGACACCAGCCTATCCCTTCCCAGCACTGAGGGGGCTCCTGGGTGGCAGTGACTTGAGTATGTTTCTGGGCACCAGCCTGAGCAGCAGCGGGCAACTGTCACATGTTTGCGGGGCTGTAGCACAGCAGGTGTAGTTGCAGGTTCTGGTCCCAGTGGCGCAGCAGCAGGAAGAGCCCCCGGGCTGCAGCCTTCAGGGCGGCCAGGTCAAGGCCATCGGGAAGGTCCTGGGCCCGCAGCCAGCAATCAGCCTTGGCCGCTGTAAGTTCCCATTCACCAAAGGCAGCAGCGCATCGGTGTTCCAGCCAGGCTAGTGCCACGGCAGTGGCCCAGGACCTGCCACGCAGGTCTGTACCACCCAGCCCTTCCGCCCCCTCTGAGGCTTCAGTGTCTGAGCCCCGCCCGCTGTCCACCTGGCCTGGGCCCTCTGAGCCCGAGCTGGGGGAGGGGCTGCAGGAGGCCGTGGCGCTGTCACCTTGGCCAACACCAGGGCCCAGAAGTGCCCAGGGAGATGAGGATGAGGTGGGGCTGAGGCTGGCGCGGTGCACCGCAAAGGGCGAGGCACGGCACAGGCGCTCCTGCGGGATGCGCACCGCAGCACAGAAGGGCGCGTCCAAGCGGAAGGAGCCGGGCGCCTCCTGCAGCCGCACCTGAGGAGAGAGGAGGTGGGGGGAGAAGCGAGCTAAGACAGCGTCCAGGCCCTGACGATGCCACCCTCCACCTCCCGAGTCCTCACCAAGGGCAGATAGTCATGGTCGCTTCCTTCACTGATGCCATCACTGGCTTGGCCCGGGTCGGGGCTGCAGAGTCTGCGACGGCGGCCCAGACTGAGCCTAGAGGGAGGCTGCGGGGGTGGGCGGTGAGGACCTCTTGTGGTGGCTACGGGGTCCCCCACAGCAGTCTTGGAGTTGCCATTTTGGTCTGAGTGCCAGGCACCTGCTGGAGAGCCTCCCTGAAGTCCTGCAGAGGAGCCAATCCGTGCTGGCAGGTGGTCTCTACACCCAGTTGCCCCTTACCTTTTTCCCACACTTGGGTTTTACCTTTAGAATGGACAAGTGTGGGCAGAGAAGCTGCATCTAGATGGCTCTGAGAGGTGGGAGGGGTGCCTGGGAGCTCAGCTGGCTCTGCAGGGGCACAGGGGATGGGGTCAGGTTTGTCCAGGAGGATGGCCAGTGCCGCGAGAACTGCACTTGAGAGGTCACCAGAGGAGGGCCCCTACCTGAGCTCCGCACCTGCAGGGTCCCCGGCAGGACCTCCCTAGTGGTAGCATCCACAGCTACAGGGCAGGTGAAGCAGGAGGGGGCGAAGCTGACCTTGCTTGTCTGAAGGGCTCGGAGCCAGCATCTCCGGGCATGGCCTGTGAAACCATGGAGCAGCATGCTAAACTCCCGCCACCTGCCCTCTATAGAAGGATTCACAGAAAAAAATCAGTGTTCCCCACAGCTTCTCCTTGTGTCTACTTTTGGACAGAATAGAGTGACTTCTTAGGCCCAGAACTAGCTTAGGCTCCCAACTTTGACAAGAAGTGGTCAGGCTGAACCTTCAACCATAGCAGGGTAAGGGCCCCCAGCCACCCAGAAATTCAACACTGTACACCACCCAGAGGAAGCCTTGACTGGCACCTTTTCCTTCACCCATTTCAGCACTGTCTAATAGAACTTTCTTCTACGTCTGCATGATGTTCTATGTCTGCGTGATCCAGTATAGTAGCCACTAGCCACATGTGACTACTGAGTACTTCAAAAGTGGCTAGTGCAACTGAGGAACTGAAAATTTAACCCTATTTAATTTAATTTAATTTAATTTAATTTTATTTTATTTTATTTTTTTTGAGACAGAGTCTCACTTTGTTGTCCAGGCTAGAGTGAGTGCCGTGGCGTCAGCCTAGCTCACAGCAACCTCAAACTCCTGGGCTCAAGCGATCCTCCTGCCTCAGCCTCCCGAGTAGCTGGGACTACAGGCATGTGCCACCATGCCCGGCTAATTTTTTTTTTTTTTTATATATATCAGTTTGGCCAATTAATTTCTTTCTATTTATAGTAGAGACGGGGTCTCGCTCTTGCTCAGGCTGGTTTTGAACTCCTGACCTTGAGCAATCCGCCCGCCTCGGCCTCCCAAGAGCTAGGATTACAGGCGTGAGCCACAGCGCCCGGCCCCTATTTAATTTTAATAGTGTTTTCTTGAATGACAACGATTTGTTTTTATGTTATGGGCATTGTGACTCATTACAAGATCATGTTTCCCTCTGTGCTGGCTCCTAGGAAGATTGTCAGTTTTGGGTCCCATACTTGCAAGAGTACATAACCTTGTGGTGAACATCTTTAATATAACCTCATTCTCAGCTTTTATTTTCACTTTTTCCCATTGCTCTGCTTAATTTTTTATCTTATCAGTGTGATGAGGCACATCAGATCCTTTGTGAACAAGATGAGGTATAGAGAGTGATCAAACACACTGACCTACACCTCTGCTGCTTTCTGCCTATCCATGCCCTTGGGCCTTCAGTGGGCCCATTAGCAACTCACCCTGGTCAGCTGTGGTCTCAGCCCCTCTTCGGAGAGCCAGCTGCTCATTGTCCCGGACCACAGAGGCTGCTGTCAACCGGTGGAGTGCTTGGTCCCAAGCAGCTTCTCTTACAGGGGGTGACGGAGGCTGTGAGCCATCCCCAGGCCCCCACAGTGTCTCCAGCCCAACACCCACTTCCCAGCACATAGGCTGCTCCCCACACAGGGCCCGGATCACCACATGGCAGCGTGGAGCCTGAGGAGGCAGTGGCACTGCAGGAGGGGCTGACTCCCCATTAGGGGGCACAGCCGTGAACAAGAAGGGTGGTTCCATCAACATGTCCCAGTCCAGGGGGGCTGGGGAGAGCAGGTTTCCTAGGGAAAGAAGATGGCATAGGCTAGGGCAGTGTAGTACTCCGGGCTTCACCTCCCCAAGGCCTCCTTGGTGTCAGGGAAACCAGCTCCCTATCCAAACCTTACCTGAGTCATCCAGGCCCTGTCCCAGTTGTTGGCCTGGCTCGGGGCCTGGCCCATCTGGTGCTGCACCCAGAGACGGGTGCTGGGGTCTGCCAGAGACTGGGTTTGCCCGGCCTGGAGGGGATGAGAGGCTTCGGCCAGCCAGAGCCACCCTGTGCCGACGGCCCAGCACCTCACTACTCAAGGCCGCTGCCTGCATGTGAGATATGGGAGCAGCTGGTCAAGGAATGCCGGGCTCCTGACCATCATACATATACAGCTGGCCACAGGCTACAAGGACCTCCAGCCCCGGCTCCCTTCCCAGTGTCATCATACTCTACTCCCTATCTCCCACTTGAGGTTGTTACTTGTCTTTCTGTTTTTGTTTATGTCATGTCCTTCTTTGCCTGGCTAACTTATTCTACTAGACACGGCTCTTACTTTCCTGACTCCCTCAAATGAAGTTAGTTAGTCATGCTGACTCTGAGCCCACATAGTACCTTCTTCCTGTACTCATCACATGGTATTGTCATTATAGATTTACCCACCTATCTCTCTAGCTAAACTTCATAGTAAACTCTGCACAATGTCTGACACACAGCAGGTGGTAAATATTTGCTGGATACCTGGTGAATCAATGATGTGGGCTGAGTCTCACCTTGAATGGAGCTGGTGGTGGTGCAGGCAGGGGACAGGAGCGGGAGCCCGCATGTTCTCCATGGGCCAGGCTGCGGCAGCCCTGCTGAGAAGGGGGATCCAGGGGAGCACTACCCTCGGGGGATCCAGGGCCCTGGGAGCCTGGGGACTCACTGCTGCCTGTGGAGCCTGGGCCTGGCTCTGGGCTGGCAGAGCAGTGGGTGAGCACATACTGCTCACGGATGTACGAGGACTGGAAGATGCGGCGCCATATGGCTGTGTCAGAGGAGGGGTTGGGTCCAGGATCTGTGACTGGGTCTGTCAGAGCATCGGTACCTGCAGGGAGGCAGTAGAATAGACCCCAGTCCTTGTCCCTCCCACTGCCCACTCCTTCAACACTGCTATACCAGGGCACTCACTCCGCTCTGAGTCCCCAGCAGCCCATGGGCTGGACAGCTCTGCTGACACAGTGGCTGTTCCCAGTGGCTCCGAGGTGCCAGTGGGCTCCGTGCCAGGGCTGGCAGCAGATGGCACCTCCTCTGGGGATGGGAACACAGACCCACCCAAGCTCTGCCAGCCAGGATTTTGGCCCTAGAAAGAATATCATTGTGAAAAAAACTGATTGTATTTCAACATGGATTTTTGGGGGAAACAAACAAAAAGGTAAAACAAAAAATAAAAACAAAATAAAAAGCACACAAAAAAACCCTGATTGTAGTTATATACTACCTCTTTCCAAACAGGATGTTTTTTTTTTGAGACAGAGTCTCACTTTGTTGCCCAGGCTAGAGTGAGTGCCGTGGCATCAGCCTAGCTCACAGCAACCTCAAACTCCTGGACTCAAGCAATCCTGTTGCCTCAGCCTCCTGAGTAGCTGGGACTACAGGCATGTGCCACCATGCCCGGCTAATTTTTTCTATATATATTAGTTGGCCAATTAATTTATTTCTACTTATTGTAAAGATGGGGTCTTGCTCTTGTTCAGGCTGGTTTTGAACTCCTGACCTCGAGCAATTTGCCCACCTCGGCCTTCCAGAGTGCTAGGATTACAAGCGTGAGCCACTGCCACCACTGGCCCAAACAGGATTTTAAGATGGTTCACAGGAAGAGGTAATAAAGCTAACAAACCAGAAATAACAGACCAGTACTAAGAATGCAAGAAGCGAACATGTTAATCATAACAACTAACAGACTTGCTGTGGAGCTGAGCTTGAAGCTTGTCCCTGAGCTTCCTGGTAGCCAGGCAAAAGACAGTCTATTATATAGGCCTCATGATCAAAACAAGGGAGCATGCCTAGCTCTTTTAGATAGATAAAACTTTTCATTAAAAAAATAACTACCATTTCTGGCCGGGCGCGGTGGCTCAAGCCTGTAATCCTAGCACTCTGGAGGCAGCGAGGCGGGCATTGCTCGAGGTCAGGAGTTCAAACCAGCCTGAGCAAGAGCAAGACCCCTTCTCTACTAAAATAGAAAGAAATTAATTGGCCAACTAATATATATATATTATAAAAAATATTAGCCGGGCATGGTGGCATGCCTGTAGTCCAGCTACTCGGAAGCCTGAAGGCAGAAGGATCGCTTGAGCCCAGGAGTTTGAGGTTGCTGTGAGCTAGGCTGACGCCACAGCACTCACTCTAGCCTGGGCAACAAGCGAGACTCTGTCTCAAAAAAAATAAAAATAAAAAAAATAACTACCATTTCTCAAACTCCTGTTGTGTCAATTGTCCAGGTGTCCTGCCAAGAGCACTTGTGTTATGACCTCTAATTACAAAAATGTGTATAAACATTTACACACGAGGAAGTGGGCTCAGAGAGGTTAAATGACTTGCCCAAATCAAATGGCTGGTAAGTGGCAGAGTTGGGATTTACAATTGCATCTACAACCTATGTTATGCTCCTCTGTCACTCAGTTACAGGAAATATGTCACATGGTGCTTTCCACGGCTTTACAAGGTATATAGAGTACCTTGTGAAGTAGTGAGCAACAGTTTTGACAAAAACCTCACAGCAAGTGCTGGTGCTGTTTTCTGTGGCTATGTGCTTTAGTGACCCTGGGTGGAAGACCCCATGAAGAAGACAGGATGTGGTCTCCTTGGGGGCCTAGTGGATCTCTGTGGAGCCCTAGGAGATAGTAGGGGAGCTTGGCAGAGAGAAGCACAGGGAATGGAAGGGTTTGGGAGAGATGCGGGGACTTCCACCAGCCCAGGCCCACCCACCACACCCAAGCCCAGGCCTACCCCTGGCAGGTGGGGCCGGAAGCCATCCACCCTGAAGAGTGAGCAGTAACCCAGCAGCTGGTCCCCAGGGTAGAGTGCTGGGATCTCCCGGGGGGTCAGCAGCGCTTCCACGGCATCGGGCACAAACCAGTCCACAGAGATGTCACTCAAAGCAGGCTCCAGAGCCTTCCTCAGAGCCTGCACCAGCTGTGGGGAGTGGCCAGAGGGAGGGAGAGAAAGGTATCACACAGCCAGAGCGGGAAGGTCGCTCTTCCCCAGTGCCATGTGCCCAGCCCTTGGGCTGATGGGGAGCAGGGTCAGGCTGGAGAAGAAATGGGACAGGAACAAGCAAGAGGATTGCGGGCTCAGTTCCCAGGTTGTGGTCTGGATCCCTGGCCTGAGCTTTGCCGTGTGGATGGGGTGGGACCGTGAGGATGAGGCTCACTTCCAGGACAAGGCTGAGAGTAAGATTTGGAAGGTGGCTTCACACCTTTGGCCTTCCACAGCACCCCCACAGCAGCGCTAACAGCTCTGCCCCCGATTGGTGTATCAGGGAGAGGAGACATTGGAGAGCTGAGGGTCCAGGGCACCCCATGGCCTGAGTGGGTTCTGTTTCAGACATGATGTGTAACTTGGGAGAAGGACTTCCAGGTGTAGGGAACAGGGCTGGGCTCAAGCTCACCATGGGCTGCAGTCTCTCTCCAGGCCTCAGGAAGTAGGCCTGGCCCCTGCTGAGGGCAGACAGACCCTGGAGCAGCTGGTGGCAGGCGGGCCCCAGACCAAAGGAGAAGCACCTAATGAGGGAAGGGAAGCAGCTGTGACCTTAAGGAGCCCCTTGGCAGGGCTCAATCGTAGGCACCTGGTTCTGCCCATCCCATACCTGGCTGCCCCCCTGTGCCACCTCATGAACTCCAGGGTTTGATGAGTGGTGGCAGCCATGGGCGAGGCAGCAGTGAGCAGGAACAGCTGCCGAGGGTGGGCCCTGTGCTGGGGCTGCCCCATGGCCCAGTCTAGCACAGCCAGCACGTCTGGAGGGCCACTCACAGCCTGCAGGGTCTCAATGCTGTCACAGATCAGCTGCACAGTGTCCTGGAGAAAGAAGGGATGGGCTGGGCCATGCTGGGCTGAAACATCTCCACGAGGTCCCCAAATCCCCGGACCACACTCACATCACTGCAAGGCCGGCTCTCTGGAAAGAACGGTTGCACCGACATCCCAAACATGGCCAGGTTGATGAGCGTCTGGGGTGGGAGAGACTTCACAGCTAAAACAATGGCATCCTGGGGAGGGCGGGGAGGGCAGTGTGAGGCAGGCCCCCCAGCACTGCTCGCCTTCTCCAGACCATGATCAGAACGAGGGGCTGGATGGGGTAACCTGGGAGAGGCCCAGCATGCGTACGAGTGAGACCCTGAATATGTGCAGGAAACATTTTTGTGTAGGGGACTGTGAAGGTATATGTGAAACTCACGTGTCTCTGAGTGTGACTCTGTACGAGAGGCTCTTGGCATCTGAGAGAGATGCATGTATGGGTGAATTCGAGAAAGAGAGACCTGAGAGTGTGTATGTGTGCGGGGTTAGGGGTCAGGGCAGGGCTGCTCTCTAAGGGAGTCCCCCTGAGGAGATGCTGTCTGGTTCCTCTTTGGAAGATGGCGTTTGAAGCAACAAGGTGACTCGTGGCTGGCCCACCTCTGACCCGCTGCCCCACCCACGCAGGCCTGCCCATGCTATGCCCCCACAGGCCTTGTGTGCTGCACTGCTGCCATCCAACAGAAAGAGGAGCTCCCGAGTAGCTGTGCCCAGGTGTCCAGGCTTGGAGCTCAGGTCTGGGCAGAAGCTTAGCATCAGCACAGGGTTCAGCAGGATGTCCTTGTGGAAGCGTCGCTTCAGGAACCACACCTGAGCATGGGAGCCCTGCATTAGGCTGAGCAAGGCTTACTGCTACTTTGTCCAGTGTGGCCAGTGGGACCTGGCCTGGGGACATTTTTCTATCTGATCTACCAAGAGGGGATATCTTTTGTAGTAGTCTGAATAAAGGCAGGGGCAGGGACAGGTGGCTGTCCTCTGCCTATGTCACACCTAGCTTCCATTCTCTGGGACATATCTCAGGGAGACCCACATCTGCCTTCTACGAAGCTGGGTGGCAGCTATGTAGGGGTCTTTCTGTGGAACGAGGCCCCCATCCCAACACGAGCCTGCTCGCCTGCTCCTCGTGCACAAATGCAACAGCAATCAGGCCAGGAGCCCCTGCAGCCATACCTGCCGGTCCCCATCGCTGTCCCTGCACTCCAGCCTCTGGAAATCACGACGGGCCCTCACCTGGGCCTCATATTCTGCTGAGCTCAGGCTGCCCGCCTCCAGCATCAGGTGTGGCTGATGTGGCTCTGAGAGGAGACGACACAACTCCATCAGGGAAGTCCCTGCCTCTGGCCTCCAACTGTGTAGTCCCACTGTCCTGGAAGGAGCCTGCATGCAGGTCCAGCCTTCCTGCACCATGGGCCCCACGCTCACAGATGACTTGACCCCCTGGTTTGGGGCCCAGACATCTGTAATTGAAAAATGCTACCCAGGTTGTTCCGAAGCAGGCCAGAGTTGGCCCACTGTAGCTCACCACTGGGGTGCAGCAGGATCTCCAAGGTCCGATCACAGCGGTGGCCTTCTGCCAGTGTGACACAGATGGTTGCCGCAGAGCTGGCATGAGGAGGGGCATCTGCCCGTAGAGCATGAGAGGGGCTCTCCAGGCCTGAGGGACATAGAGGCAGGAAGGGGTGATGCAACCATCACCCCAAGCCAGTACCAAGAGCACAAACATCACAGTGTTGTGGGCTGAGTGTTCTGAGTTTGCTCTATAGAGTCAAACAGACAAGGGAGGATTTGCCTTCTTTCATGGGGTGGGAAGTGGATTCCCAGCTCTGTTCCTGGCTGGTCAAAGAGTTATACATCAACCAATTGGTGACTTAGCATCCCCCACCCCACCTCTTGTACAAGGGGAATCCACTTCATCACTTGATCTGTTCTCCTATTGGTGGTGGTGGGGGATATAAATAAATTACCTTGATAAACTGGGGGGGGGAGGGTAGAGGCAGCCAGGGGATGCTCCCACCACTACCCTGGAGGTTCCTAAGGGTTAGTCACTGACTTTTTGTCCTATGTTCCTCCCATCCCTGAGTCATGATTATTTCCCAGTCAGCTGCACTGGGAGGGACGGGCATCCGAAAAGAGGTCAAGTCAGGCCAGACGCACCCACCTGCCAGCAGGCATGGCCCAGTCACCAGCATCTCGAAGGAGAAGGTATATGGGGCAGGGCAGCGGGCAGGACCTGAGAACACGTCCAGAGGGGCAGCCGGCTCCTCCCAGGGCACCCCTTCCTCCTGAGGGCTGCCCACCCCGAAGCAGCTGGTGGGGCTGGAAGGGAGCACGAGGAGGGTCACTGGGCCACTGTGAAGGCCCCTAGCCCCTCTGGCTTACTGGCCCCAGCCCTTCCTCACCCTGCCCATCCCCTGGGATACCCTGCCAAAGCCCCCTCACCCGCACTAGACCCAGAGAAGCCGAGGGAGGGACGAAGAGAATCACCATAGGCCCAACCTGTCGTCACAGAGCCCCGGAGGCCTGGGGGGCCCTGGTGGGCCTGGCAGGGCCAGCGGGGTGAGCACAGTGGGCAAGACCACATGCAGCACCCCGTCAGGCCTTGAGGGCAGCTCCCGGCTGCTGTGCAGGGTCACTGTCATGGTGCCAGCCGCAGCGATAAGGCCTGTGGGCAGCACCAGCGTGGACCGGGCCTGGGCCAGATCCAAGACAAGATGACCTATGATGAGTGAGAAGAGGGGTCAGAGGGAGCTGGAAGCAGAGGAGGTAGGGGAAGAAGGGGAGCAGGCACCAAGTCAGGGAGCCTGGGCAAGGGGGACTTTGCATGACCAATGGGACACTGGGCTAATGTGCTGGTGATGCAGGATGGAGGCATGAAATGATGATGGTAGCAGAGGCAGATGGTGGAAGGATCCAGCTGTCATCAGGCAAGGGAGAGTGGTATCCTTGCTAATGGAGGGCTGGGGAGAAGGGGGCATGTCCACTCCAAGGGCCCTGGACATCCCATAGCCTGTGTCCATCTTCCCCTGCCTGCCTCTGCCCAGTCAACCCTTGGGCACCATTCCTAGTAGACAGACATCTCCCTGTGGCCTGGGACCCACTCTGCTCATAAATCTCCTGCTCGTGCACCATTAGGGGCTCCCCATTGCCCACTAGGGTGGCTCCAGAGTTTTCTACCTGAGAGGAGCTTAGCAGCAGTAACCTGCTTTCACACAGGCTAGAAGACATAAAGCTTCATTTGCATGCCAAGGACACCATTTTATTTAGATCATAGGTTTATTTGGGGACTGGCAGAGCTGTGGCAGTCACCACTGCTGCTAAAGGAATAATGGCCAGGTGTGTTGGTCTGGCCCCAGCCCACCTTTACAGCCCTACTTCACCTCACTTCCCCACAATAGTCATTTGATCATCCTTTCGAGAAATACTTGCTGAATAAATGAAGAGAAGAAAGAGATGGAAGGAAAGGAAAGAAGTGAGTAAGAAGGGGTAAAAAAGGGGCTTCCCTCCCAGCCACCTGATACAGTGGAGAGAGCACAGCAGCAGGTTTTGAGTGTCAGCCCTGTGACTTCTAATGTGTCCTTTGGTAACTCTCTGGTTCTGAGGGGCCTCAGTTTCTTCATCCATAAAATGGGGATCACGATAACTATATCTCAAAGATTGTGGTGAGGAACAAATGAGATAATGTATACAAAGCACCGAACATATATGTAATGACCGTTGCTATTATTTTCACCCACCAGAAAAGGGGGAACGGGAGCAACGCTTCCATTACATACCACTCAGGATTCAAATGAGGTGACACCAGTGACTGTAAACTGTAAGTCACTGTAAACATGAGGTGTTTTATTACCATTACCCAGGATAACCTACTTCCAAACCTTTATTTATACCATTGTCCCTACTCTCCACTTAACCAAGTCCTATCCTTGCTTTCAGTCAAATACTGGCTCCACCTCCTTCTGGAACATTCCTGGGGCCTAGCCCAGAGCTCACTCTGGCTTCTAATAACCTGCTGAGCTTATGCCAACTCTCAACACCACTGGATTCTGTCCCTCTTTTTACCCAGATGGCAAATCCCATGGGAAGGAATCAAACATATGAATGAATAAATGGGAAGAATGGAGTGAAAGCCACAGAACCTAGCACAGGGCTGGGCTTCCATCCCCTCCCCCCAGCACTTACTGGGCCCCTTTGTGTCAGGTTCTGTGTGAGATGCTGGCACTTGGAGATGACCAAAACCCGACAGTCCTAAGCTCAGGAGCTAAGGGTCCAGAGGAGACAGACGTACAGACCTGTGACAGTTACTCCCCTAGGATGTGCTGTAGGGGGTGGCACAAAAGGCGAGGAGCAAGGAAACAGTGCACCCATTGCTTGTCCGGAGTCAGGGAGAGTTTCCCAAGGAGTGACATTTGAATGGATTTTAAAGGACAAGTACAAATTTGCTCACTAGAAGATGGGAAGATGGAGCCAGGAAGTGTACAAGGGCCGGCCAGTGTGGCAAGTTTGTGGTACCTGGTGTGGGGGAGGGAGAGGGACGGCAAGGGGTGAGGGCCTTGGCTGCTGGGCCAAGGAGTTCCTGCTTGATCCAGGAGCTGGCACATTCACACGGGGCCAGGCTGAGAAGGTTTGTAGCCTAAAAGGTAAGGGGCCGAAGGCGGGTATCTGGGGAGGGCGCGCCCTTTGCAGCACGAGGGGGAACTATGGTCTGGGCTGCAAGCCTTATGCTGCCTGTGTCTGTCTCCCTGGCTGTGAATCTTGGGCCAGGTCTGGGCCATATTCTCCCAGCACCTGGCACAGGTCAGGTGCCCAGTCCATGACTGTTGAATAAAGGGATGAATCAATGAATGAAAAAATCAGCGCCTGGAGGAAGCGAGGAGGGGCGGGACGCACAGCGGGTGCAGGAACCTGGCTGGATTTCGGGAGCGCGCGGCGCGGACGCAGGACTCACCCTGTGCGCAGCGGCGGGGCGTGGCGGCCCCCAAGCCGGGGCCCAGCGCGCGGCAGCAGGCGGCCTGCGAGCGTCGCCGGCTCTGCAGCTGGAAGGAGACGCGCTGTCCGGCCGCCTCGGCCTCGAAGCCGGATACCACCTCGGCCTCGGCCAGCGGGTACACGAACACGCCTGCAGGGAGGGGCGGGCAGGAGGCGGCGTCGCATCCCTCCCGGCACCCGCTCCCCACCGCCCGGCGCGCCCGCCCCGCCTCACCGTCCACCGGCTGCGGCTGCGGGTTGTGGTAGGTGAGCCGGGCCCGCAGGCTGAGGCAGGGTCCGTTGGCGCAGGCCCGGACCCAAGAGTCCGTGAGGGGCAGCGGCGTCCAGCTGGAGGGGCAGTACAGGCCGGGCATGGTGCCGGGAGGCCGGCCCTGGAGGCGCGGTGCGCAGGGTGAGTCCGGGGCGCCTCACCCCGCGCCCCTGAAAGCCAGCGCGACAGTCTAACTCAGGCACCCGGACGCGGGCCTGCAGGGGGCGCAAGACCGAGCGGGGGCTCCTGCCAGGCTGACAGGTGGCGGGGGGAGATAAGAAAAGGCGAGGCGGGGGGCATGGCGAGGTGGCATCCTCGCTGGTTACCTGGGAGGCCGGGCGGAGCGCAGCTCTCGGCAGCGCGGGGACCGGGGAGTGGAGGGTTAATGATTAACTAGCGCTGGGGGCGCCCGGCAGTCCCGCTGCTCGCGCCTCTGGGGGGTGGGGGAGGCGGTCACAGCTGTTCCATCACCCGCTCCCGGGCCTCACCTCCACCCCCGTACCTGCCGGCCCCCCGGGGCTCCCCGCGGCTGCCAGCTGTCGGAAGTAGCGCGGGTGGAGAGATGGAAGATGCTCTGGGTGAGGAGCAAAGGTTTAAAGGGCCAGCATCCTCCCGGGTGCCCCCAGCCCAGCAAGGGACAGCAGGGGCGGGGTGGGATGGGAGGCTGAAAGGGCCGCAGTCTTTCTCTGGTGCCTCATCCGGCTGGGGCGCGGGCTGGAGTGGAGGGGGTTGGGGTGGGAAAAGGTGGGAAAAATGAGAGAGGGAAGCGAGAAGACGGGGGTCTTTCGGAGGCAAGACCCAGAGAGGTGTCTAGGCAGGGGACTCCAAGGGATCTGTCCAAGGCACCTCTCCCCACCCTGGCAGAGCTGGTCTGGGAGTAGCGGGCGGCTGCAGTCACCACTGCCCCTACAGGGGATGCTGCGGGCCGGGTCTTGGGGCGCCCCCTCCCTCCCGGCAGGCTCAGCCTCACCCTCGCGTCCTCGGCGGAGTTCTGGGCGCCGAGACGGGACCAGGGTGGGTGGTACCGCCTCAGCGCCCTGGGCTGCACTGGGTCCTGGCACCCGCGGGGCGCCAGCTCCCGATTCCAGCTGCCGCGGCTCTGAGTCCCCGCAGGGGCGCCGGCCCTGGCAGTGGTGGTCCCGCCCCCGCTCCGAGAGGCCGCCCCTCCGGCCCGCCTCGGCCCCGCCCGCCGCTGCGGCTGGGCTGTCGCTCCCGCCTCCTGCGGGTGAGGTACCGCCTCAGCGCCAGCGCCGCTGCCAGAGCCAGACAGGGCACTGCAGTGCAGGCACCGCGTCCCCGCCGCCGCACGGTCCCCAACAGTGCGGGACGAAGCCTCCGAGGTCCCACCCTTTCCATTCTTCAGGAAGTGAGGCATCCTGCAAGAGCAGCAGAGCCGCTCAGTCTGCAAGCCCCAGCATCACAGCGACCCTAGCTATCCCGTTATCCCCGTGCCCAGCCCAGCCCCCGCCCTCGGTAGGCTTCCCATCACTGCAGTGACCCTCCCTCCTCACTGCAGCGAACCCCAGCGCCCCGTCACCACAGGACTTTTTCCTCAAGAAGCCAGCCCCTTTCCAAAGTTATCCTTCATTACTGCAGAAAACCTCCCCCGTCCCTGCAGGTAGCCTTAGTTCAGGCAGTCACTTCTGTGACAAACCGAGGATTCCCCATCACTGCAGCGGGACTTCCTCCCGCCCGGGAACAGCCAGGCTTGCCATCACTGCAGTACCATCTCCCCACTTTTGCTGGGGGTGGGAGGGTGTGCAGGATGGCTCACTCAGGCCACAACCGCCTGGTCCCTTCAGTTGCCTCAGGCCTTGGGAGCGAAGCCTTCCAGCCTGAAGAGGCTTCTCCTGGCTCCAGACCACCCTGTCGTAGAAGTGACCCCCCACACACTCACCACACGCACACCACCGCAGCGCCTCAGTAGAAAACATCCCTGCTTGTAAAACAGCTCCCTTATTATTGGCAGATTGTTCATGTGCTTGATAGTGTGGTGCTGCAAAGGGTTAGGAAGTCTATAAAACCTAGCCAGGACACCTGAGGGAGAGTCTGGAAGTCCTGGAGAAGTGAGGGGAGGTGACCATGCTTGTGGGTCACCCATGCAAGCTTTTTTACCCATGCCACAGATTCCACAAAGAGAGCTTGAGGAGAGCCAGGGTAGGTGGCAGCCAGTAGGGAGTGGGCTTTCAAGCCACACCCAGGGTTCTCACTAGTCCCTATTAAGTCAATCCTTCCGCTTCCAATCACCACCACCGAATGCCTCCTTGAGCATCTGAGCCCTCAACCCCAACTCTCTCCCTTGCTCAAACCACTTAGCGTGATGGAAGGAGCTTGGCCTGTTCCTAGGGAACTTCATGGGTGGGAATGCAGAAGGACAATACAGGAAGCACAGACACAGTCACACCGATCCAGCGCACATGGAGCTCCAGCTGGGTCTCAGCCCTGTTGTTTCCATAGTGTTTGGGCCGTGGTTCCATTGACCTCTTTCCTCCTTTCTCTGTTAAGCCCACTGTCAGCTCCGTTAGGCACAAGGGTCCCTCTTACAGGCCTGGGAAGAAACAGTGGATGGGCTGGTGGTCCCTCCAGGTGACCCAGGTCCCCAGGCAGCACCAGCCTTGGTCCTGAGGGCTCCACAAAGGCACTGGCAGTGGCTACCTCCCCATAGGTGCCTTGTGCTCTGCCCCTTCAGCAAATGGAACAAGAGTTTTGTATGGTCCTCAGACCAAATGTGAGGCTACAGGAACCATCATTAGGAGGCCTCAGACACATGGAAATGGAAAAAGACATCCTTGTCTTTGGTCCTAAAGAGAGCTTGGAAGTAAGAGGGTCTCCTGAGAAGAAAGGGTCCCTATCAGAGACCAGACACACACATTGGCAGAAGCCAAATTTTACTGGGAGGCTGGAGCAGCTCTGAGATCCTGCTGGGAAGGCTGTCTTAGCAGCTCCACTGAGGGGTAGAGCAGCATGCAGCAGGGGGCAGCCAGTGCTGGCTGCCTGGCACCTGGGCTGGGGTGGGAGAGCAAGAAGGGTGGGTCTTTGCAGCCTAGCTGGAAGGCACTCTGGTGGTGGGATGGCAGCATGGCAGCCAAGGGCAGAAGAGGACAGCATAGCCCTGGAGGGCCCAGAAGCCACGTTCCAGGAGGTGTCGGAAATCGGAGGCAGGGCTGAAGGATGCCTTGGGGCTTGGATGGTCTGCTCTGTGCCACTCACAGGGGAGGGGGTGGGGGATATGGAGGCGAAAAGAGGTAGCCTGTGCCAAAAGAGGCTCACACTTGAGAGAAAGGGGCAGACAGATAAGCAGTTTCAGGAGAATGAGATAAGTGCTGCATTAAAAAAGAGTAATTGGATGGTATAAAAGCTTTTAACAGGCAGCTTTTCAGAAGGTCACCTAACCTGTGGGAGGGTGTTTAAGCTGAGTCCTAAATGGGAGTTCAGCAATGAAGATGTTTCAGGCAGAAAAATCAGCTTGTCAAAAGAGAGAAGCTTGATTCGGTAGCTCAAGATCATAATCCTAGCACTTTGGGAGGCCAAGATGGGAGGATTGTCTTGAGGCCAGGAGTTTGAGACCAGCCTGGGCAACATAGTGAGACCCCATCTCTACCACAAAAAAACAAAAACAAAAACAAAGGTGAGCGAGCCAGAGGGACTAAAGAAAATATAAATAGTTATGTACAATATTTGTTTTTTTCTCTTAGTTAACATTTGTCCAGCACTTACTATAGGTCAGGCACTGTGCTAAGCATGGATTACCACATTTACTAATCAAAACTGTGCCGGGCACGGTGGCTCACACCTGTAATCCTAGCACGGGGAGGCCAAGGCGGGCGGATTGCTTGAGGTCAGGAGTTCGAAACTAGCCTGAGCAAGAGCGAGACGCCATCTCTACTATATATATATATATATTTTTTTTACTTTATTCTTTTAACAAAATTACTTATACTTTTTTTGCTTTTTGCTGCTGACTAAGGATAGGTTACCATCTCTACTATAAATAGTAACATATTAATTGGCAAACTAATAAATGTAGAAAAAATTAGCCAGGCATGGTGGCGCATGCCTGTAGTCCCAGCTACTTGAGAGGCTGAGGCAGTAGGATTGCTTAGCACGGAGTTGGAGTTGTGGAGCGCTAGGCTGACGCACGCACGTCACGTTCGTGTTTAGCGCTGAGCAACAGGAAGTGAGACTCGTCTCAGAAAAAAAGCAAAACAAAACAAAATGCCCTAAAAGATAGTGATGGTATATGCGTATTCTTGCAGATGAGTAAAAACCAGAGCCCAGGGGTGGTTTAAGTGAAACTTGGCTTAAGCAGAAGCTGGGATAAAGTGGTGAGTGACGTGTCTGAAACTCAAACGGCGTCTGGCTGGCTGGAACCCCTCCGCGGCCTGTCTTAACTGAGCTACTAGACTGACAATGCAGGTTCTTTTTAAAATTTAAAAAATTAAAACAAATTGTTTAGTTCGTGCTGATTCTTTTATTTCGAGACAGCGAGTCTTGCTGTGTTG